TCACGAAGGCTTAGCGCTCTTCAGTAGGGCATACTGCCTCTACTGGTGGCCGGGGAGCCTTCGTCCACCTGGCCGTGGCCTGCGCCACCGGACTTGGGGCCTACGGGCCGTCTTCTTCCCGAGGACTAGCGAGGGACACACACGCTGGTAGTGTCCATGTCCGCCGCATCCATAGCAGCGGACCAAGCGCTCGGCTGAGCTTAAGTCCATGAGCTCGGGCTCGCTGTACGCACCGGTATCAACGGAACAGCAGGAGCAACAGCGTCATTGCTGCGATGCTCCACCTCCCGAGGAACGCCATTCTCATCGTGGCGATTTTCCTCTTTCCGAGGAGTACCAGCCTGCTTGTGGCTGTACCCTTCTTGGAGGGCGATTCGAATCGCCTCCTCCATAGTTGTCGCTTGCACCCGGAATAGCTGGGTGCGAGCAGGACCGACCTTCAGGCCGTCCATGAAGACTGTTGTCTTGACGTCTTCAGGCAGAGGATTCCCTGCCAGAGATGCCACCAACGTGCGCATCTCTTGCGCGTACTCCTGCAGCCCACGTTTACCTTGCTTACACGCGAGAAAGCGTGAGCGCTGGCGGAACTCGTTGTTCGCCGGTAGGAACGCGGCTCGAAGCTGCTCACACAGCTGAGCCCAGGATGCAAAGCATCCAGGAGATGTCGTCTCCCTGGTGTATGCCCAGTGCTTGGCACGTCCACCAAGGTTGGACAGGGCAAACGCCACCCGAACTGGCTCGTCCGAGATGAGACCCGCCTTCATGGCGATCTCCACCTCACGAACCCAGAAGTGAAGGTTCTCTCCTTCCTTCTTCTCAAACGCGGGGACCTTCAGTCACACGGTGCCAGGACTTTGCGTATACGAAACGCAATTTTGTTCGTCAATATCCACGATCTCACTCCGTGTGGATCCTTGATGGTGCTTCCATACACAGACACCCGGAGATCGTGCACTTTTTGAGGAGCATTCGTATCGTGCCAATATTTCTGCCAGCATATTGCCCGTTCTTCAACCCTATCGAGTATATGTTTGGCTACGTGAAAAAGTTTTTCCAGCGGCACTACAATGAAAACGGCCGCGATTTATTGCCGTTTGCAGTGCAGACATTTCAGCGATTTGAACATTTCAACATGGCTAGAGTGTTTGCGCATTGCGGGTGGAACGTGCAAGGCCGCTTTGATCCCAGTAGTCCAATGTCGACGGAGAAGAGTCAAACGCCTCAGTTTTGGGGGGAGTGTGCGGAGCCAAACAACACAGAAGATGAACTGGGATTTGATTTAGTTGATGAGGAATGTGGGGGTGATTAAAATGCCTGCCTACTCTTGGTGCTCGGTGTCTTCCAGGTTTTCCATCCGTGAGAATGGATCGATCACATCGGACACAGCTAGGAGGTCTACGTCAGCCAGGAAAGCTTGGTTAATATTCCTTTTCGAAATTAAGGATTTCTTTTGAGCCTCCAATCGCAGTAGAATCCCGTTGACATCTTGATGGAGCTCTGTAATGTCTGCTAAACTTCCGTGCACACAATCTAGCGCCATTTCGCCAGACTTCGTAAGACCTTGAGCTCGATCCTGAACTTGTGATCTTGGAGCATGGAGGAGATGGATGAGGTGGGCCGGTGGAAGGCCTGCAATTTGTTCCTGCCACGTGGAACGGTTCAGGTTTCGAGTGATGTAATTTGCCCACAAGCGCCATCCAATTGTCGTTGTAGAAAACGAAAAGCGCCAGTGCTCTTCCAATTGAGCAGCAACGTCACGAAGCGAGCCTTCAGCAGTAGCACCGGCGCGATCAGTCTGTTCAGGCAGGATGCAGGCAGCTAAGAAGGTATCTCGATCTTTGGCCGTCGATAGTGCTGATCCGTACTAAAAAAACTGTAAGATGTTGATCTTCTTCCGTGATTTTCTTAGCCAGTAATTCCAATCGAGCTCGTTCTTAGTGTTGTCAACTAGGTGCTTTCCCCGTTTAAATTGCATCAGAAGTTTCCAGTCGGCTTGCGCGGGGGGGGGGGGGCTCGACGGACCATTGCCCATCATCATTGACCGCTAGTCCTTTCACGTGCTCGCTAATCCCACTCCACAGCTTCATAATGATCTCGTCAAAGGTGTCACCATTTGCGACGAAGTCTCCAAGTCTTTTGCCAGACTTATCTCGCTGGCTGACCGTCTTCTTGATAACAGGCCGTACAAGTAGCCGAAATCGCTTAGCAGACTGGACATCCTCCACATCTTCTGTTAGATTTGAAGCTGGCGATGACGCTGCGTGCCCGATACTGGTTCGCGAAGCCGGAAGAGAGACTGGACTGGCGATGAAAGCCCACTCGGTGGTATTGGCGGCGAGTTGCGATTGACTTCTGCTCGGGCTAAAGCTGCTGGTGCGTTGTGGACTTCTTCTATCGTCGAAGCTGCCGGCAAGTTGGCGTCATCTTCATCCCTGATCGAAGCTGGCAGCAGTTCACGGTTGTCTTTGCTAGCTGGAGCTGCTGGTCTGTTGTAGTTATCTTCTTCTCTGACCGGAGAAGGCAGCAAGCTGTCGTCGGAGCGCGATGATTCACGTGACGTTCGTCGAGAGCTGAGACTATCAGGTGATGTGCTGTCTTGTGCTAATTCCGTCGATGTGCGTCGCTTTTTGCGGCTGGGAGTCGCATGTACTTCACGACGTGAGGCTCGCTTGCGTCGAGCCGATCCGTTGCTAGGCGGCATGTTTCCCCGCAGGTCGTCTTCAAGGTTGAAGTGGTTCCGCACGCGGGTTGAAGTGGTTCCGCACGCGGAAGTGCTGCCTCTGCACTTGCATTTCGTATGCTTTTAGATGGGATGAGCGATTGGCGGGGCGATTCATTCAATCGCCCAATCCAATTTCGAGTAGAACTCACAATACAACTTACCTTAAACTGGTCACTTCGCTCCCTTCGACAAGGGGGACCCGTGAACTACTGTTCACTGAGAGTTTGTATACTCTCGAAAGCCGACATCCTCTAGCGCAAGGTGCTGTGTGACCCCGTCACACCCTTGGACCTTCAAGTCCGGCCCCCCCCCCAATGGCCCCGTTTAGCTTCTGTGTCAAGCTGGAACCTGGAACAAAAGTTCCAAGCCTCCAGGTTTACTGAGTGGTTAGCATCCATTTGACTGGATCCTTTGCTCGACGACTGATCAGTTTGGATATAGAGTCTCGAAGGCACAGAAACGCGCAGTCCAACGCCACTTGGACCAGCCCGGCTCCCTTACACTGCGAGTTCTGCGCCGCTCTCTCCACCTTACGTCTTGCCCGAGTCGACGGCAGGTGCGTAGCAGCTCTACAATGATCAGTACGTCGTTCTAACCTTTTGTATGGCGTTTTTGGTGCTATGAACAGTGAAAACCCGTGCTGCTTTGGTCGGCATTGCCTACATAGGTGAGCTGCTGTTGCTGACAGCTATCTAAACACCGTACCAACACTTTGCACACGACGCGGTTACCTTATTTCGCAGTGGAGAGCAGTATTATGGATCCTGTTTCGTGCTTGGCAGCTGTTGTGGTGTTGGAGATGATGAGAGCACCAGATCCTTCTACTTCTAGAGCGGTGAACCTGCTCGTACAGCAGCATGAGATGGAGGTGGACGTAGTTAGCGGGCTCTTTCGTCCACGAGATCGAGAATGGATTGCAAAGGAACGAAGTAGTCATTGGTCTCAGATGCTCTTCTCATCAAGAGTGTATTTCGACTCCAGCATGAAGGACCTATTTCGCATGGATAGTAACAGTATTGCTAGCCTCTTCAGGACCATTTGCGCTGGGCTAGTGCCGTTGCGAAAGGCACCCGATGCCGTTGTGCCGCCAAAGCGTCTTGCGGTGTTTCTATACCTGTGCGCACACGGCTCATCAACTCGCGTCACGGCAGATCGCTTTGCCATCGGCCCAGATGCATCTGCCGGCCAAGGAAGAGGTGTAGTTCATCGTACACGTCCTGGCTCACGTTGGGGCTCTTTACACGATGACGGTCACTGCAATACGCATGTAAAAGCTTAATAAACATACCAATGTGTCATCATAAAGACGGTTTAGCTACTTACCGAAGCTCCTTCCTCTCTTTCTTGCTCAATTCAAACCACTCAGGCTTGCCGGTGCTCCCTGCGATCCTATTGGCATTAACGTCACTAATAAAGCGATACATTTCACGGAGGGCCTGCAGCTTGTCTTCGACGGCCTTCTTCGATCGCGTGGAGGTCGGGAAGGCTGTCTTATACTCGTCAAAGATATTTTGGGTGATCATGCTTGTTTTCTCGTCCTTGCGTCGCTCTCCTGTCATTACTTTCTTCCACGCTCGCACAAGACCAAGCGTCGTTTCCCCTGTCCAGTTGCGCTTCTCGAAAGGCGCTGGTTTACATTCCGCATCATTTTCGGTGCTGGTGCCGTCGACGACAACAGCTGCATCCTCATTCTTCTGCCTACCCGGCTTGCTAGCTTTCCCCATTCCTTCTCGAGGGGGGATCTTGTTGTGCTGAGAAAACGCCACGAAGAGGCGCTGAAGAACATTTAGTTTTGCAAGTTCCAGGTCTCAGGAAGCTCCTGACGTCACTGAAACAAAGGCACTAAAGCGCGGTGATTCTTGGAACTTTTAGTGGCATTTTCTCCTGTTTCAGGGGAAATCTGGCGATGCTAAACACAATTCCCCTCGAACCTGGAACTTTTTTTCCAGGTTTCAGATTCAAAAGCTTTGCTAAACAGCACCAATGGATACCAGCCTTGCCAAGGTTGTTAAAATCCCAGCTGTTATTTTAATAATTTTAAAATAACACAAACCTGGTAATTGTGTGATTTCTGCAAAAATAAACCCCTAAATAGGGGCCCCTTAGAGAAAAATGTTTTACGGCGTGATGCTCAACTTCAACACACACGTCGGTGACGTCACACTCTCGATGACTATTGGTCAAAATACCGACAACCGACGCCCTGTGATTGCAGCCTGAGCCTGAAATCCCATTGCTCGTCATGTCGTATCATTTTGGAGCTTGCCCCTTCAGCCACAGACAGACTTCGTATCAGATCGTTACTGCCACTAGAGGCAATGGAGAGCCTCAGCACCAGCGGTCCGAGTGCCCAGCAGCAACTCCGCTCGTTCATGGCACTCCCAGCGGACGACGAGATGGCACAGCTGATCCTCGAGGTGACACTATCTTGTATTATCCTGCAGCGATGCCAACTCACTAACAAGTCTGGCGGTTGTACAACTTTTCGCAGGAGCTCTCGTTCTCGAGGCGCTCATTCACGGGCGTAGCGGCGGAGATCGCTAACTCGCCGTCGAGCATGTCGGTGTCGGGGCTCAACTCGATCTCAGAGGACGAGGAGGATGAGGAGGATGAATAGACGAAACGTGCTGCCAGACGCAGGCAATGGATCGAGAATCACGCGGCGGGGCGGTCACGACTGCATCATCACGCAGCCCCCGCCTCCGCGCGCACCCGAGCAATGTATGATGTACAGGGAGCACAGCAGGGTAGTCGTCAGCGTAGAGGAAAGTGATTTGCATCGCGCTATTTATTGGAACATGGAGTCTGTTTTAGTTTCTGCTGGTATTTAGACCTCGCGCCTGGTGTTCTGGCGGTGGTAGTGTAGCCTGGCCATTGCGTTGCTCTTTCTGCACCGCTGACTTGGCAGCCTGCTGACCACCAGAAATCCTAGCGTCATCGCTGTTTGACAAGCAGCGTCATCGGATCCTGTCGGATACGCAATAAATCAATTTCTGCAGCTCTCTTCCGGTTACAGAACTAAAGTTTTCTGGCAGCGTATCTTGTACTTCAACTACAACGGTTAAAAACTGAGGATGGCGTTCATCGTTTGCGTGAGATTCGTTCTAAAAAAGTGGCGCGTCATAACGCCGCGTCATCGCACCCTTTTTCTCAGCTAACGACCTCGGCGCGGAGCATCTTGCTGGAAGCGTCGTTGCTTTCGATCCAGGCCGAGACGTCTGCAGGCATCGATGGATTGGCCTCCTCATCGGACTGCAGCGCCGGCAGCTTGGCGACGATCTGTGCAGGGCTCAGTGCGCCCAGCACGGTGTTCTTCACTAGCACGATGGCGTTCACAAAATCGCCCTTGGCACCGTGGGTTACGAAGCGGTGCTCCACGTAGAAGGCACGTTTGTCCCAGCAAATGAGGCGCGACTGCATCGTGTAAGCCTGTCCAAAGGACAGCTCGCGCCGGTAGCGTACGGTCTGCGAGCCCACCACGAGATTGCCACCTGCAGCAGTCACCACCTTCCACACGCCGTTGTGCTGGTTACCACAACGAAATACACATAGAACTCGAGATGGACATCAACTATACACTCTGCACTCCAAGCCAACACTTGCGTACCTGCCACAGCTCGCGACGCCCAAAGCCGCACTCACGCAGGAAGCGGGCGTTATTACAGTGGCCATTGCGGTCGATATCCATGAGTCCGATACGACCATTAGCCTTGCTCACTGCGAATAAGTGCTTGCGAAGTCCACGAGGCGCAGGCATGATCGAGTGGAGCCCCAAGCGTAGGAAATACCAGAAGTCACAGAACGCGAAACTCGAGAGTACGCCCACACCCACCGCCGTGACGCCACTGACTCCGCCCACGAAGTACGTTAGCGCAGTCACACCCGTCGGTGGCAGCGTAAGTAACATAAATGCCAGCACCTTGCGAGACAGCACCATCGTAGCCAACAGCTATTTACGAAGTGCTGGTGATATCCTACCGGCCGGCAAGTTGTCATTTTGTTACAGGATGACTTTGATATTTATGGTGTATCGTACGTAGGTTTGACGTTCGTCGCTCATTGGCTGTAACTCCATTATGTCTAAAAAAATACTTTTAGTAAAAAGGTGATGGAGACGCAGGCTCGCGCATTGGAGGAGGAGGTGCGGCAGCTATGCGAGCAGGAGCAGACCAAGCAGACGGCGCTGCTCAAGCAGCGCCTGTACAGCCGTGTGGGCCAGTTCCTGATGGGAAACCTGGATATGCGCCACTGGTGGTGCGGCTACTCGCCGCTAATGGTCTTCATGATGCGCGTGCTGGAGCTTTATCCGTCTTCCGAGAGCGTCTGCGTCTTTTACAAGAGGATGGAGCAGCAGCTCGGCTTCTGTCGTAAATGGTAGAGCACACAACGGCCGTTGCCTTTCTTAGTATGTGGTGCATGTACTTACACGTTTAATTAATTTTGCTGGCAGTGTGGATATCTATCACGCGTCTATGCCGAGCGTCCACGTGGAACTGGAGTACGAATTCACACCCGAGTCGATCAAGGCATTCTTCATCAAACTACAAGGCCTGGATGCTGATCGGATCCAGCGCCAGCTGACAGATAAGTCCATGGGCTTGGCTCTGCGGGAGACGTCGGAGACGGTGGCTCTCACACTGTACGAGGTGCTCACTCAACGACGACTACTATCAGACTTTCGGGTGGTGCGGGTGCTGTCCAGGGTACGTATTATTGCTTAGTAGAGATGAAGTAGGGCTGATATTTTTATTTTGGCGTGTTAAGTGGGCTTCGTCTCGGTTTGCAGATGTGAAAGTAAATCAAGGCTTGGAAAGTCTTCGTGGCTGTGCTGGTCTGTATCAGCTACTGGTGCTACCAGACCCTGTAGTGAGGTGCGTAGCTAAAATAAGCTTCATTTTTTTAGCTTAAGTGGAGAAGTACAGATGTAATTATCATTTCATCTTCTTTATTGCAGAGAATGGGCACAGGATATGGTAAAACACTTCGGTAAAATCCAGCTTACGGGCGATAATGGCGCAGACAAACACTTTCTCGATGTGATGGAAGAGTGGATGTACGTACTGGAAAACGAAGCATTTAACAAACCTGTGCTGTCGTTGGAGCTGAGAACGACAGAAGACCTCCAAGATGTGCGTATTACTACGTAGCTACGATCGTTTTTCCCGTATGACTTAACGTCCATACCATGATAATTTGGTACCAGTTTTTGGAGCCGACAAATTGTGTGAAGACTCCAACCAAACAAAATTTGTGGTCAGCGCTGGACCATGTCATGCAGGTAAACAAACATGAGCTTTCGTCGTCACTATGGACACGTTTGCATGCTAACTCGATCTGTGGTGACGGTGTACGTAGCAAATGGACGTACACAGTTTGGAAACGATGTTAGAATCCTTCGACACGATTCCAGATTTAGTATTCAACTTTCTGCAGTGCGCAGACCCATCCGGAGACCAGACGATCACGTTGGTGGTACGAAGACTACCCCGTCTTATACCCTTTTAGGGTCTTCTTGTTCTCAGCTGTTTACTTGCTGTAGGTTTCCAAGTGCCTCGCTGTTCTTTTACGCTGTCTTGGGCATCGGTTTTGGAATCACTGCGTGCACTCTCCGGCGATCGTGCTTGATGTGATAATGCAGCATTGTCGTCTCGAATCGTGGCGTGTGTTTGTTACGAAGCAGTTTATTGAGCTCCTACCACCGCTGCTTGTGGCAATGCGACCGCCTCAAGTCTCTGCCCAAGCGGTAAGCAACTGATCTAAGATATTTTCTTAGTGCTGCGAAGTTTCAAGCACTGATTTTATTTTTCTGCAGTCCAATCAAGAAAAACTCGACTTTTATCTGAAGGCGCGCAGCAAAATCCTTCAGTTTTTAATTGTTGAAGATCTCCGCCCTAAACATTTCAACACAACTGCCATTGTCGCGATGTCAAGAGCGACTTTCACCATTTTAAACGACTGCTACGAGCACAGAATGCCCGGGTCTGTGAAGAATAAACGTGGAAGTGGACGAGATGAAGGCGCGCTGTCAGAGTCGATTTCTATCGACTACTCTGTCTCTGAGAGTGCGTTTTGGTGGCCATGCGGCTCGGAATCGGGAGGAAAAGGCAACGTGCAGCTGGAGAAGCTGTGGATGGATCACCTGCTCAACATTGTTGTCAGACCTACCAATGTCGAGTCTCTAGTGGACTTAGCAGCAGAGACGACCGCTCTCATACTGAGCAAACATCTACAGCTTGCTCGAGATGTCGTGTACTCGAGTATTGTTGCGAACAATGACGAGAAAGCAGCATCGATTGAAGCTGTGACGAAGGGGAAGCCGATCATCACTGACTTACTGAGAAAGCTATGCGCGTGGAGTACGGTCACAACGATCCCACTTCAAGTTCACGGAGCACTTTTCGAGTCCATTGGAGGGATTTCAGAACTACTGAACGGCGTTGAAGCTCAAACCAACTCCAGTGAGCAGCTGAAAGACATTGCCGACAATTTACGTAAATACGAGACCCAGACCCAGCAATATCTCCATCGAATATGCGAGGAAGTGCTGCTGAAGGGCTTGGCCAACCCGTTTGGCTTTCCCGTGGTGTCTCAGCACATCAGTGCCTGCTACTTGAGTCCGACAAGTGCTGTAGACCAGCAAGTGAAGAGGTATGCTTCAATCTGAGTCGATAAATTGCTGCTCTGTGCTAACTATCATCATTTTATTTTGACAGACTCATTGGCAAATATGCTGTTGACAAGAAAAGACCGACGCAAGTGCCTTCTCCACTGGAGGCTCTTCTCATTTCAGTTTATCGGAATGCCGAGGCCTTTTTACGCGGCCAGCTTTCCATGCTGCAGTCCATGCGTCTGTACGGTTTCTCGCATGCCGTCTGCTTGCCTGCCGTGAAGAAGCTGATTTTTGTGTGGTCTCGCGTCTACGACATTATGGGCGGCGATCTGGAGAAAGTTTTCCAAAAGGCGTCGAATGCCAAAGCCGCGGCCTCATCATCGCACCAAGTGACGGACACTGGTATCGCTGCGGCACACTTACTGAAGCTTCCCAACTTGATCAATGACTTCTTGATCGCACTACTGACAGCCTTGTTTGACCGGAAAACAAAACTCACGGTGGAGATCACGGAAGCAACACGCGTGCAATGTCTCGACTTCGGGATAGCGTTCTGGAAGTTCTGGACGTCCGTGTTGAAAGACGCGAGTGTGTCCAGCAAGCGCGTGACAGGCATCATCAGTCCGTTGGTTGAGTGCATTGCACGGGGTTCGTCGTCGGAGAACAAGCGAGCTGCTGAATTGTTGATGACGGTGTTGGGATGTCTTCTGAAGGGAAGTACTCGTCTAGATGAAGCCACTCTGTCCATGATCGACAGCATCAAGGGCGAGGCAGCAGCGATTGAGTCCAAGCAGTCCACTGACTTTGGTCGGATGACAAAGAAGTTCCGACAACTTGACCAAACCTCCAGTTTTTTCACAAAGCGCTCGACCGAAGCAGCAGGCGTAAAGGACTTTGTGGACTTGACGTCACGAGCGAAAACGAAGCTCCCGCCGAAGCCCAAGACTTCTGCCAGTCTGTTTAGTTCTCGACCCATGAGCGGGAAGTCCGCCGCTAGAGCTCCAAGCAACGCGTTAGTGGACCTCACTGGTATCGAAGAAGTATCGAACGAAGCAGCAGCTCGAAAGCAGCACAGCTTTTACTCTGAAGAAGAGTACCGCTTACCTCCAAAGAGATCACCTTCGGCCAAGGACCAGGCTTCGAAAGCAAAGACTCCGTTTGATATGGCGCAAGTCATAAAGGGGATGTCGTACTCGCATCCAGGCTCAAACAAGGTAGTACAACAGCGATCGAGACAGCAGACTGACGCCAATGTGGAAGAGCAGCCGGAAGACGAGGAAGAAGATACGGATATGCGCTTCGCCGCCCTGTTCCATCGGATCAAAACTACGCGAAAGCCTATCGCGGTTTGCTCTCTGTTGCCATTTTACCGCCAGCTGCTGCAAGTTTGCATGCCTGTCCTGTTGTCTGGAGAGTTCCAAAATGAGCGATCTGATAAAGAGCTACAGGCACCCGGCTTAAGCTTCAAGAAAAGCGCCGACTATGTCCGAGCGTTCCTTCCGCTGATGGTGGAAGAATGCAACAACGAAGTTCAAGAGGGACTTCGGAAGTGTTCTTACGGGAATGGAGGACATTTACTGCGCTACGAGTCCGAAAAGCCTCGAGAAGGAATGCGATGCATTAGCTTTAGTATTGTTCAGAAAGACGAAGGATTACTTGCGAGCTCTCAATCGAAATTTGGTGGCAAGGGGCGACGAGGCTTCCATGAGAAGCTGTTCCGGAATGGTGACATAGTCCTCGTGCAGATTGCGGTGGGGAGTCAAAACCAGAGCGGATTTATGGGGAAACGCGAGTTTTTGGGGGTCATTTTGATCAGCGAGACGGAAAAAGGACGGAGACAGACTTCCTCGACGAAAAAGAGCAGCAAGAACGAGGAAGAAGAGTCCGTGAACGTGCTCTTCCTGAACGATGGAGAGCTGGACAATGCAACGGCAAGTGTGCGCTCATTTTCAACGGAAGTGCTGGCAGCTAGCGCCATCGCCGACACGGAGTGGAAGGTGAATCCACTCTGTAATTTGGTCACGTCTACGCGTGAGTACATCGCGCTTCGGTCCGTTGACATGCTTCCTGAGCACTTGAGAACAGCTATTCTGACCCCAGAAACATACAAATCGACGCAATCAGAGCTGATTACCATCACGTTCGTGCTGGATAAGCTACGTGGGGACAAATCAAGCGATAGCTGTGCAAAGATCGTGAAGCTTCTCAAACGTTTAGGCAAGATGGACGTGATGCTGACAGATTTAAGGGTAAGTTCTATACTGCGTGGTGGTGACTGGCCTAGTGACGATAGACTGACTTCGTATCTGTAGTCTACCAGTATAGGAAAGGCTGTGAACAAGCTGCGCAAGCACGATGATGCCCAAGTGAAGGCTCTTTCCTCCAAACTGAAAGAGAAATGGACTGATCTCATGGACAAGAAGGACGCCCTGGAACGTGCCCCTCGCTTTTTATCACCCGAACTATGGGAAGCCATCAAGCCTCAGTACAATTCATCTCAGCTGCAGTCCATCCACAGTGTGCTGAATAACTACAGCATGGGTGTATCTCTCCTTCAAGGACCTCCTGGTACTGGCAAAACGAAAACGATAATGGGTCTGCTGAGTGGTTTGCTGTCATTGCGACTACCAGCTACTGCAGTGATGCCGATGATAAGCTCCAAAACCAGTCCGAACGCTCAAGGGGGAGACTTCACGAACTTTGAGGCTGCGCGGTCTCGTCGGGTAAAGACTGACCAATCTAGCGGACCGTCACCACGTGCTGAAGTGACGACGTTTTCTTTGAGTGGAGTCACGTCTGCATTGGGGAGTATCCTTCGTCGCTCCTCCGATGCTTCCTCTTCCGGACCGAGTCGAACATCCATTCAGGCACTCAAGAACGTCCAGTCTTCACGCAGTCGATTGGAGAACAAGTTGTCGTCTCGGACACACCAATCAAGCTCAAACCTTGTAGTGAAGCGCCGTATTATTTCACGAGCAGCGTCGGAACGTTCGGCGAGTCGAACGAACAACATTCTTCTTTGTGCGCCATCCAACGGCGCAGTGAACGAACTGGTGCTTCGAATCGTGACTGACGGACTCATGGATAGCTCTGGAAACGTTATCAAGGTCCGAGCGCCGAGTGTGCATCCAGAGGCACTGTCGGAGGAGTTCATCTCCATTGTCCGTCTCGGAAATGCTGGCGAAGACGCATCTGAAGTTGTAAATTCTGTGTGCTTGCCGCACATCATTCGACGTGAAATGGCCATCCACCCGAAGGCAATGCAACTGCACTCGCTCCAAGACACGCAACGACAGCTACGCAGCTCGATTCGTGCCTTTCACAACAAAGCAGAAGAGGATAATGGGCAAAAGAAGGACCGAAAAGCGCTAGCCAAGATGCACCAACAGCTTACGGAATGCTCGGGCAAGATCCGACGCTTGCGCGATGAAGTGACTACGATTCGAGCGAAAATGACCGAGACTATTCTGTCCAAGGCGAGCATTATCGCTTGCACGCTGTCAAAGGCCGGTAGTGGCGATTTCTCGGAGCTCAAGCACGGCTTCGACGCCCTCATTATCGATGAAGCAGCGCAGGCAGTGGAGCTCAGCACTCTTGTCCCCATTCGGGAGCGAGTAGCGCGAGTTGTCCTGGTCGGCGATCCGAAGCAACTGCCTGCTACAGTGAAAAGTGTGGTCGCAGCAAAGGCGCGATACGATCGATCGTTGTTCGAGCGGATAGCGGAGAGTGGAGTGGCCCCATCGATGCTTCGAGTGCAGTACCGAATGCACCCTTTCCTACGGGACTTCCCGTCCAGGAGGTTCTACGGGGGAATGCTAACCGATGGACCCAGCGTTATGGAAAGAGTCCAGAAGGTTTGTCCTGGTGTTTATGCACGTACAAGCTTTCAACCTTTCCTGCTGTACGACGTTGAAAACTCACGGGAAGAAGACATGAATGGGTCCAAGTACAACCGAGTGGAGGCAGCATTCTGCGTCAGTTTGTGTCAAAACATGTTCGAATGCTGTGCAGACGTGCGCAACAACAAGTGGAGCGTAGGATTTGTGTCACCTTACAAGGAACAAGTGCGTGTACTGCGCCAAGAAATCACTCGATCGGGGATCCCAGCGAGCGTTTCGATCGAAGTGAACACGGTGGATGGCTTCCAAGGTAGGGAAAAAGACGTGATTGTGTTTTCGTGCGTTCGGTCGTCCAAGCGCGGTGGAATTGGATTCTTGCGAGACATCCGACGTCTTAATGTGGCTATCACGCGCGCTCGGTTTTGCTTGTACGTGGTTGGCAATGTGAATACGTTGGTGCGGGATGAAACGTGGGCGGCTCTAGTCAAGAGTGCTCGAGATCGCAGACTTATTATTCGATCGGAGGGTGACTCTTTTCCTGCAGTGGCGAAAAGACTTGAAAGCGACAAGTATCGAGAGTTGGCTGCACATTACAAGGCGATGCACGACAAAGCAGCCCTTAAGGCTGTTGCTACCGCGAAGCCGACCAAGGCAAGTGCGGTGACGGTTGAGACTGTAAAGCAAGGGGTACAATCGGGTGATGAAGTGAAGAAGAAAGTTGCTGGTGTGGCAACAAATGCAGAAGTGCACGAGGACAAGGAGAAGAAGACGAACGATGCCGATGTATCTGTGAACACTAAAGTCGCAATCAAAGATGAATTACCCCTCAAGCCTTCGCAAGCACAACAACCACTTAGTGAGAGCCACAAAAGACCCGCGGATGATTCTCTGAGTGAAGCGAGTTTCAAGAAGCCTCGCATAACTGAGACGGCTCCACCCACTGAAGCCGACTTGCGAGGTCAATACGAGATCCGAAGCTTTCGAGATCGAAGTAGCTCATCGACGCTAGGTTCGCGTCAGCGTGAAGGCCATTCCCACGAGAGAGCTACGGAGCGTCGCACAGATTCCTATCGTCGAGATGATCGACGTGACAGACCCGACAGTGATCAGCGCAGGACTGAGCACGCAGATTCTTCTAGGAGGGAGGCTCGACACGGATCTCGTGACCACAGAGGCTCATACGACAGGGAGCAGCGTAGGTCTCAGTACTCAAACTCTTCCAGTAGACGTGACAGCAGATCTCGTGACTACAGAAGCTCGCACGACCGTGAACGAGGCGACAGTAGAAGCGAAGGCACAAATAGCCGATTCCATACGGATGATCGTCGTGACCGCGATAGCCGAGGCAAGTACCCACCTTCAGAAGGACGAAGCGCTTCTCGATCTCCATCCGCGTCGCTCGTAGTGCCGCCGTCAATCTCTGAGAAGGAGTTCTGTCAGGCCAATGAGCCTGCTCCTCCGTCGAAACCAGACCGTATGCGGTCCAGCACTCCAAGGACGACAGGCAAACGACCGCATCCCGAGTCGAGGTACCCACCCCCGCATCCTGATCGTCGCGATCGCGTCTCGTCAAGTAGGAGCAGCTATCTGTCCATGACGAATGAACCAAGATCACGTAGAAACCACAACAGCAATGCCAAGACTCCTACCGGTAGGAGCACCAACGTGCTGCGGAACATCATCGGCAGTGCTAAGAACCTGGCCAAGTCCACGTCGCGTGTGAACAACAAAACCAATCCCCGAAGCTCTGAGTTCTCGTAACACTCATACCGGCAACACAAGTGTACATTACCCTATCGTGCGTCGGTCTTTGTAGAAGGAAAATGGTCTTCATTTTGTCTGAAGTTTTATAGGACTAAACGCATCAATGCCGCGCCCACAGCCATGATGGTACCAGCAAAACCCACGGCGTACTGGAGCATGCGCTTCTCTACTTTCTCCATCGACAGTCGGAGCTCGTTCAGAGTTTCGTCCTCTGCTTGCTTCTGCAGCAAAAACTTTTTTTCTAGCTCGGCGATTTCCATGCGGATCTTGTCGAAGTCGATCTTTTCGAGCATGCGGATATCCTGCTTCAGCGTGTTAAAGTCGCGCTCCAGCAGCTCTCGCGAGTGGCGCTGGGCAATGTCTGTAGGTTTCATACAGTCAGTAAAAGTACGCAGGATAAACCATCAAAAACTCGTAAAGCTTACCGAACTTGAGAGTGGAGTTAAAGACCCGCTCGGACAGTTCGGCCTTGAGCTCCACATGCTCGGATTTCGTAGCCAACTAGCAACCAGAACAAGCGTCAATTAGCACACTGTAGTGGCCTAAATCACACGAATCGATACGACACTCACAATGCGCGATTGGGCCTCCAACGAATCGGCCATGGCGTCTTTCATCACGTGCAGAATCGCCTCCGACTGATCTGTCGAGAAGCCTGCAAAGAGAAAATGAGTACAGAGGCCCAAAGTTACCAAACAACTTCTCGCACCTCTGTCCTGCAGACTCTTGACGACGTTGTGCGTGTCAAAGTGCAGTGGTGTGTCGCTTTTATCGGTGGCGAAGCAGCGACGTCCAGCTGTGGCAACTTGAAGCGCCGAACAAGGCTCCGAACAAGCCACCGACTGCCTTTGACGCGCTGACCTGGAGTTGAAGAGCGGTGTATTCACTAAGCCACGCGTCACATTTGTCTGTGTTACAGTGACGAGACCCTGGAAGAGTTGCGTTTGCGACCGCGGGACGAATGCAACAGCGACTCGAGCTCTAGCAAGCATCTTGCGGTATGAGCTCTGACAAGGTATCTGATTGGCTGTATGGTTGTCTTAACGCTTGCGCAAGCGCTACCGAGACCACAAGATTTTGGTCCATGTGGACGCTATTGTCAAGGTCTGTGGCCTTATATATGTGTAGCAGTCTCTCATTTTTGTTCATTGTTCTTCATTTGTCTGTCACTCATAGGTATTGTCTGTCCCTGTGTTCAGCGAGCGGAGCCACTGCCTCGAATGTCCTGATAGAAATAGCAGCAACGGACGCAGCGATTACCAGCCTACTTTGTCCACGCACATCTTGTCGCTTAATGGTAGCCAGACACCTCCTGGAAGTGACCGCCGGCGTTGAACTTGATCAAGAAGTTCGGCGCCTCCTTCTCCAGCTTGGTGGGCTCCACGTCCAGCTCACGCAGACCAGGCAGGTCCGACGTCTTGACCTCATTCAGACTGAGACGCGTAGCCCAGTCGCGCGTGAACTTGGGGTCCGGGAACTTTTCGCAGAAGGAGCCAATGGCCTGAGCCACAGGCAGCGGTAGGTTGACCAGTCTCGAGTTCTGCTTGGTGATGTCGAACACGTAGTCGGCCAGCTCCTTGTATGTAAACTCTTCGTCTCCAACGAACTCGAACGTCTTGCCCTGAATAGTCTCGTCCTGCGTGATGTGGTAAATAGCCTTGGCCACGTCGTTCACGAACACAGGCTGGATGACAGCGTCGCCATTGTCCACCACGGGCACACCGCCGTAGTTGAGGCGGTTGCCCATCCAGACGAGAAGACGGTCCTCGGGTCCGAACATGTTGGACGGTCGGACGATATTAGCCTCCGGGAAGGCCTTGCGAACAGCAACTTCGCCACGGAACTTGGAAGCGGCCCACTCGGAGGGCGAGTTGGGCTGAGCCAGGAGCGACGAAACGTGAACCATGCGCGGAACGCCGGCTTCCTTGGCCACCTCAGCAATGGTACGAGCCACATCCACGTGCACGTCATCGTACGAGTAGTTGATCCACCAAGGAAGAATGTGCTTGGTCTGGTAGTGCTTGCCAATGAGGTTAATGACGATGTCGGAGCCCTCCACAGCCTCCAAGATCGAGTCGCGGTCGCGCGGGTGGAACGGTTGCTGGGCTACATTGCCCAAGTCGGCCGACACGCGCAGGTGCGAAACTTCAGCGTCGTCTCCGCGGTACGGCACCACGTATCCGTTTCCATTGGTACCTGGTTTAGTCACAGCAAGTTTAATTCGCTAATTTTTCATGTGTGCATGGACCGCCGGGATGGCACAACGAGCAAAATTAAGACGCACCGAGATGCGCGCACACGTAGCGGCCCAGGGAACCAGTGGCGCCGAAGACGGTGGCTATGATACCGTTGCCTCGCACGCGCCCAACGGGGTGACGCAGAGCCGCCTTGGCCACAGGAGAGAGCGCCGACATGTTAAGTCTCGTTCCCAGAATCACTGCCCCAAAAAGGCAAATTGTGAGGCTACGAAGGAGCGACCTTCAAACGACAAATGTCTGGTGTAACAATACAAGCGACATTGTCTACATGGTACACTGTACCATCATTCTTGTCGTGCTCGCTGGGCCTTTTCTTAGCCCACGCGTGACACCATCATTATCCAAAGCCGATCAGGTTTGAATACTCCCTTCAGCTCACGAAGACCAGCAGCCAACCGAGAGGGAAATTAGACCAACGGCATGAAGCTCGTGGGCAAGAAGGAGCAAGCCTATGCGTCGCTGGACATGGATTCGCCACACGCAGCTCCTGTGCGCCGCAGCAACTCCAACAACTCCAGTGTGCAGCTGTCCCCCTCGAGTGTCTCGACGATATCCATCAGCTCCGAGCACAGCAACGTCTTCAACCGCGGCGACGATGACAGCAATCGACCTTATTACAATAATGTAGCAAACGATATCCTCGCGGCTTTAGATGGACCAGTGCGACAACTGGCGTTCGAGACGAAAGGCGCTTTACTAGCGACGGGGTAAGCTTGACAACTGAAGCTTTATGACTTGGAGAGGTTCATATGCTAAAAATTTTCATTTGTTTGCTTACAGATTGGCAGCCATGTTTTACTTGCTCGCTTGGTTCCAGGCGGTGCTGATTCCTTTTTTTCTTGCCATTTTTCTAATGTGAGTTTTGGCTGAAACGCTGCATATTTCGTACAAACATGAATCTGACAATATTTGGCATTTGACATTCTGATTACAGGTACCTTGTGGACCCACTCGTGGAAGTGATCGATGTGTCGCCCAGATATTTCCTCTGTATATGCACATCGCACGGACGTCACGCTCGACGGACGTCTCGAGGTTGCTCGCGTGCGTTTGCGTCGCTGGTGGCAGTCAGCTTGGTGTGTGTTTTCTTCGGACTCCTGGGCTACATCACTGTGCTTTCGGTCCACGCGCTGGATGCTAGCGCTTATCAGACTGGCTACAACAATCTGGTTTCAGGTGTGGAGCACATTCTCGACCAGATTGGACTTCCAGTGAACATCACGACGACGCTGCATGACAATGTCGACAAGGTAGCACGCATCGTTGTCACAGAGACGATGGATCTGCTGTCCGTAATGTTCGTGACACTTATCTATCTCACTTATTTTCTCTGCACACGCACTCGTGCAAGTGATGCCGGCGGTGTCTGGTCCAAGATCGACCACGATATTCAGCGCTTTGTGACGTTGAAGTGCTTCCTCTCACTGTTCGTGGCTCTGCTGGTGACGATCGTGTACGTCTCGCTCAACGTTGGCCTGGCGATTGTATGGGGCATCCTGACGTTCATCTTGAATTGGATCCCTAACGTTGGAGCTATGATCGCTTCGGTTGCGCCAATCTGCATCATCGCTATCACCCCGTCCGACTTGATGAACCCCATGGAGAAATTCCTGGCCATGTTTCTTCCAATGTGCTTCCACATGTTCGCTGGCAACTTCGTGGAGCCCAAGGTTTTTGGTCGAAAACTTGAGATCGACCCGGTGATCGTGATCCTGTCACTTTCGGCGTGGGGTCTTTTGTGGGGCGTAGTGGGCATGATGCTGTCTGTCCCGCTCACCGCCGCAGCTAAAATTATGTTGAGTCATCTCAAATTATGGCCCGAGTTTGTGGCTCTAGTGGAAGGAACATACTTCACACGGTTCGGTATTAAGGCTGGCAGATATAAGAAGGAGGAGGACGACCAAAAAGATTTTGAAACGATGGAAGTGAGGACAGAAAGCGAGAAGGACCGAGCAAATGCCAGCCACATGCGGGCATAACATTTTCTAACAGATAGCTCGATTTTTCTTTTAAATTACTAGCGTTTTATCGTGTGTCTATTATTGTAAGTAGTGCCAGCAACATGTTGATCGCTAGAACAGCTATAAACATTGACTGTGGTCGTGTGGCAGTAGAAGGATCATGCAGACATCTACACTTGATTGCTGCTTCCTCTTCGCTATACTCCTTCCTGCACAGCTGCTCGTCTACAATTTCGACAGGGTAGTCTTCGTAATTCGGTGGCTTGGCGGCCCGATTATCGTTGAGAAACATGAGCACGCCGTCACAAGTATACCGTGAAGCGTTGCAAGGGACGTCGTTGAATCCTACTGGCGTGTGTGCATCTCCGCAGTTCGAATCGGAGCAATACCAGTCGAATGTTGCGTTGTCCTGGCAAATGTGCTGTTGGTCATTGCAGCCAGTCCACACCTTGTGTGGAACTACGGGAGAATTGGGGGAGCAGATCGTTTCGCGGCTGTCAGGTAGCAGTAGTCCGCAGTCCGAGAAGAGCGTCGGCGCCATGTTCAGCGCTACACTGGCGCAGATTTTCACCGTCTTCGTGTTCGCGTCGAAGAAGTGCGTGTCCAATGGTGTTGTGAAGTGTGTGGGCTCTTCGGGGTCGCATGCGTAGCAGAACGCAAAAGAGAGGAAGCGTTTGGCAGCGTTCTGGAACTTTTCACACGCCGGACCGGCTTCTATCAGCGCGAGAAACTTGCCATTGATGTCCGCGTCGTGCACAGGCAGACAGCAGCTCTTCGTGTTGTACCAGTTGCAGAAGACAAGAGGTTGAATGTTCTGTAGATGTCAGTACAGTTCATATATCGTTAGGATTCAAGCACCGCTAGATTGATACACCCAGCTGCACCTGCCTTCTTGGGTGGATCCTGCAGACACGCACACGTGCCATTCTCCGCGGTCGCAGCAGCTATTGCCAGTCCAGTGATGAGCAGATACAAGACGATGACGTGCAACCCGCACATTACCAAGAGGACCAACCGGCCATTTTTACGGTGGGCACCAAAGCTACACGACGGTTTGTAGTGCAACCGACGCAACGCCCATTGGTGTATCCATTTCTTCTTCAACTGTCAACTTTTAAAAATATTTTAGAATATTAATTGTTTTATAAAATTGCTCTAGCAGTATTGTGCTTTTCATCAAAATTTGCCGGGGGCTAGACTTATTATAATTTGTTTGGCTATGGTTAGGGAACTTAGGTCCGATTTAGCTATATCTGACGCAGCTTAAGGCCTTGATGACGGTAGTGATACCTTTCACGACTACAGTATAAGCTTTTGAGGAGGAGGAACGTATGCGTACTGTAGCGTGATTACCAAGTAAAATGGTGCTCTGATCGCCTATGGCGGTTAGACTAAACCAAATCATTAATATGTGTCCTAGCGAATGATTTTGAGCATATCACTTATGCCGTCAAAAGACGGCAATTTTGGCACCTGCTCTTCGATTCGAAGTGTCCATCGACACATCCGGATCGATATAGCTCACACGTTACCTCTTCTTTCTTTTTCGGAGGTGTTCAGCAATCGGATCCGATATGGATCTCGGATCGCGCGTTCTTAAAATGGATTAAAACCACAGTACATGTTTCGCATTCCTACATACCTCTGCATCCTCTGGCCCCAGACCGTGCTGCATGTAGCTGGATTGGTTACCCAAGTAACTTTATTGGAAATCGGAATGGTGCATCCCCCAACGGAACCTCATAGTGAATTCGAAAACCAATTTAAGGTTTAGAGCAGAGACTAGACCCGGTTATAGCCCTGGTGAAAGATCACTTAGACTAGTAGAAGCTAACCTCGGCGCTATCAGTGGGGGGGGAAGGGGGGGGGGGTACCTTCCGACCACTGTGCCAAATACCCCAGCAAGTCATAGCAACACCTCGAATCTGACGGCGCGGGGAACGCAGAAAAACCAGGACTGTCCTGGTGGCATTTGCCGCAAAATGATGCTGTCGTAGCAGCACGTGCCCCATCGCTGAGCATACTTTGCACGTCCGTTGGCGACGCCTCGTCTAAGTCCCTTCATCCAACCATTCATTGATCAGCTGTGCGACATGATTCGTGCTGTCGGCGGCGGATGGCACAAGTGGGGTGGCGACGGTCGTCACGCTTGTTTGCAGCGCTCCAAAGCGATTACTCTCGTACATCTGTAGCTGGACAAGTTGGAAGTGCAAGCATTTCATGTATGTTTCAAGATAAAGTGGTTTCGATCCTTTATTTTTGTGATAGGGTTTGTGCCCAATGCTGTCATTTACAATGGCCATGACGATCAAGTTAAGCACTAACGTCTTGTAGTATTTACGAGATCGGATACCGCGTTGAAGAGAGTATCGTTGAAGCCGTAGTTGATCAGGGACAGCCCCCCCATATTGGCGTTAAAATCCTTTATCACACGAGGACATGAAACCTCTGTCTGCTCTCCACGTTCGTTATGGCGCACCACACGGTCAAGCACCAGATAATCACCTGTACACAAGAAGTGTACATACCGCGAGTTCCATTAACTAATTGCAGTCATACTTGGCACCAACTTCGACCTGCATATTTTGTTACTGCCGCGCGGAATATTTGATAATCGTTTCTTTTTCTTCTTGAATACATCGTTGCAATACCACAATCGGTTTGTCATTATCGTACCGACACAATAAAATCCCATCAGGAGAAGCTGGACTGCGAGAGCAATCTGTAACGGGGTTACATGGTGTGGAGCACACAGGGGTACGAAGTACCCGGAGAGTTAACAAACTCTCAGTACATAAGTTGGAGAGTTAACAAGGTCTCTCAGTACGTTGGCCGAAAGCACACGTTATGCATTTGATTAGGTTTAACTATGCTAGATAGTTAAACAGATACATTTACCCCTAGGCGGCTTGGCCGCAATAATAGTAAATAAAACACTTCTGGTTTTGAAGCATAAAAGTTAAGGTGTTAACTTTGAGCCCTGGTCTTGGGCTGTAAGTGTCCTTTGGATAAGGAACTTAGTATTAGTGACTCTTTGAGTCGAACGTCTTCCTCTGACGCTAAAGCTACGGCAGCCCCGCTGCACTTGGTAGCACTTGTAGTCAATCCCGCTCCTGAGTCGGTTGACTATATCCTCTGCGAGGATGGAACACCCCGTGTTCGCGAATTTGCCCCCGGAACAGCAGGACGCGCTTACTAAGCTTATGTCCTTGCTTGGCCCGGAGGGCGTGGCTCATCTTGCATCGCAAGGTCCAGAGGCGGTCACTGCCAGGCTGGAATCGTTCTCCCGCTACGAGAACGCGCTCTTGGAGCATGTCCAAGAGACGATGAGCGCCGCAACGGCGGCGGCGTCGATGACGCGTGAAGAGTCTATGAGACTGAAACCGCTCATGGTGAGCGTAAAAACCTTCGAGGGGAAGGATGGAGAGAATCTCCTTCTCTGGGCCCGTGAGGTCGAGATGGCCATGGGATCGGCCCTGCTCCAGTCTGAGCATCAGCGCGTGGCGCTGGCTATCTCCAGGCTTGGCGGTCGCGCTCGCGAATGGGCACTAACGTGCGGCACGTCTGTTGACGATACATTTCCCACTTGGGATCAGCTGAAGCAACAGCTTTCGCGCGTGTTCGCGCCGCCTAATCAGGCGTATGCAATCCGGTCAAAGTTCCTTGCTACCCGCCAGAGTAAGAAGGATTTATTGGACTATGTCCAAGAGTTGAGAACTCTTATCGCCGGAATGGCGGCGGACCCTCTTCCGGAACTGGTCAGCGTGACCGTGTTCATGAAGGGACTTCGTGTGAGCGTAGCTCGAACGGAAGTGTTCCGTGTACACCCTAACTCTTTTTAAGAGGCGGTGAATGTGGCATTAAATGCCGAGCACAACTTCAGGTCGGCTCGATCTGGTTGGAGCGCTGGTAGCGCAAGCTCTTCGAGCGGTCCAGAGCCGATGGACCTCAGCTATGCTGAAGATGAAAAAGCGGAGCTTCTTGCTGCGGAGCAGCGCGCCGGCATCCGCCGATGCTTTGTGTGCAATAGCACTAAGCACTTGAGGGCCTATTGCCCTCTGCGCAAGAAGCGCGAGGCTCCGGCGAGCCAACCCTCCGGGTCATCGCCGGGAAACGGCAACTCCCAGTAGGCGCGAAGCGGCCTACTGGGGAAGAACTGAGTTCTGTTGTGCCTCGAAGAGGTAGAGGGCAACGGGGCTCAGCCCCGAAGAGAGATGAGCTCTCTTATGAGAAGAGTGTGTGCAAGCCGGGCTTGCTGGTCGTTCAAGCGAGCGTGAAGGGCTTTGCAAAGCCATGGAGAGTCTTGATTGACTCGGGAGCCTCGGGCAACTACGCCCGTCGCTCCACCCTGGAAGGGAGTCAGCTGTATGCTGAGGCACTGGAAGTGCCAACGAGAGATACGATCTCTGTCCGTCTCGCGACGGGGACACTGGTGACTGTGTCGAAGGTCTCTGTCGACCTTGGAGTGAAGTTTGAGAACTTCGATAGCGTGGAACGCTGTTTGGTCTTAGACCTGGATGCGAGGTATGACCTCATCCTTGGCATGGCATGGCTGGAACGTCATGAGCCATGGATCGACTGGAAGTCGAAAACGCTGGGTGCGTCGCACCCTGCTCCTAGTGGAGCTTTGGTGAGTCATGAACCCACCTCTGCTAGGAAGCAGAAGCGCTTTTGGCGCGAGCACGAGGTCGAGGCGGCCGTAGTGCTGGACATTGGTATGTCCGAAATTGTTAGCAACGAGGTTGCTGTTTGCCCTGAGGGCGTACGTGGTGCGGCACGTTATCCGCGGAGCGGTGCAGGTCAGGTCAATGACCAACTGCTGGGTCCTGGTGAGGACGAGCGCGGAGTGGCGCGTAATCCACTGAGTGGTATGAATCTGGTCGATGACCTACCGCTGCGTGACCCGAGGGTCGCGGTCGACTGCAAGTCGAGGCATCATGGGCGTGGCCCAGGAGATGCAGGTGAAGTGACACCTAGTTCACTGTGTGAAGGTCAAGAACCTCTTGGCTTTCAGCCGAGTGTCTTGCGAGACACTGTATCCTCTTCGAGGAGTGATGGTGCTGCTGCACCCGGTGGTGGTGACGGAGATGTCGCCACACCGCCCTCATCCGGCCGGGATCGGTCGCGGAGGGAGAGGAGAAGAAGACGCAGGGCGTCTGTGACGTCTTCGACGACGGACGATGTGTCCAACGTGACGAGCGGTGATGCTCCACGTGATTGCTGTGAACAGCTGTATACACTCGTGAACGGAGTGACGGGGGAGGTAGAAGGCGATATCAGCCTTGATACTCTGCCCGCTGCAGATGCTCTGCTAGAGCTGGACGAGATGTCCATTGCCGAGTTCGGCGAAGCCTTAAAGGCAGGCGAGCTAGCCGAGGTGGTCTTGCTGGGACCTGAGGAGGAGTTGAACTCCTCATCCGTCGTGGACGACGCGGTCCTAGAGGACACCAAGAAGGCGCTGAGCGCAAGAACTGGATCGGCGATCCTCAAAGATCCTTCGGATCCCTTCTACCCGGTGGTGAAGGAGTATGGAGACGTTGTCGCAAAAGAGCCACCGACGGGCCTGCCTCCGGATCGAGGCGTGTGTCATGAGATTGACCTGGTTCCTGGAACCAAATACTGCGTAACAAGGCAATGGCCTTTGCCGAGAGAGCAGTGTGACGTCATTGACGAATTCTTCCGTGCGAAGCACGAGGCAGGGATGGTGCGTGAGAGTAAGTCTCCGCACTCGACACCCACGTTCTGTGTCAGAAAGCCAAACGGCAAGTGGCGCATTGTTCATGCTTTTAACAAGCTAAATGCGGCCACTATCCCGGCGCAAACGCCGATTCCTCGCAAGGATGTACTGCAGAACAACATGGTAGGCTGTACGCTGTACAGCGCGCTCGATTTGGTCGATGGCTACTACCAATTGCTCATGAGAGCG